AGGATTGGTGCTCCAAGGCTAGGGGTCCCTGAGCCTGTGGCAGTAAAGCTGGGAGCCAGGTAAAGTCAGTGGTTAGCATCTTGGGTGTGGCTACTGTGTTCTAGGCTGTGCTATTTACAACCAAATCACTGCCCATTAGACCCCATTGTAGAATCACCTCCAGGATCATTTCCACATTTGCAAAACAGGGGCTCGGTGAGTATGGGGGCCCTGAACTTTCTGTCACTCATTCTTCCCACAGATCACTGAAGAGTGGGATCCCCAAGGGTGCGAGGGGAGTGCTGTGGAGCTCTTGGTTTGGGGAGTACACCCTGCACCTGTGCATCATAACCACTGAGTCCACCTTTGCTGCTGTTGTCCAGAAGCTCTGCTTCCTAACTGGCACCCAGGAAGTAGAAGAGAAAGTGTAGTCTGCTGCACACACACAGCCCTCTAAGAGCTTCCTGACAGCTATTACTGCAACAAGAAGCGACAGCATCTCCTTTTGGTCCTTTCAGCCCTGCTCAGGTGCATGTCCTTGGCAAGGTTCTGACATTCAGAATCCCAGCTGCAGGATGCGCACGCTGGACCTCCTGTCCCTGCCCCCTAGGCGCGGGTGTGACTGGGGTGGAAGTGGATGCCAGGCTCAGTGTCCACAGACCTCAGGGAGCACGCGCCTCTGCACAGAGAGCCCCGGTGCCGTCTTGCAGGGGACAAAGAAAGAGACATCTCAGAGCCCTGCAGCAAGGGCAGCGATGGCTTTGGCACTGTGCTGATGGTGGTGGAGAGCGGGTTTACTGGGTGCACAGTGTGGTAGGAAGTGAAAGAAGGCACCCAAAGGGTTGTGTGGAAGTGGTGGTACCTGCACTGAGTCTTAGGGTTCAGCAGGAGCTCACAGGAGAGAGAACCTGGCCAGGGGAGGGAGAAGCAATAGTTCCCAAGCTACAGAGGGAGAGCAGAGCAGAGACTGGGATGGAGGTGCTGGGCATGACGTGGAAGGTGAAGCCTGCAGCACTGAGGCCCAGTGGGAAGTAACTGCAAGCTCAGGAGCATGGCTGGAAACGAGAGTGAGCAGAAAGCAGCAGAAGGAATCCGTGGTTATGTTTTTGTTTCAGTCTTTGATGTCTGCATGGTGGATTAAGTCAGAATTTTAAGCTTGAACTAATCGACTGCAAAGTTAGCCCTTGCCCTGCTCTTTCCCACTGCCTGTGCTGTGACTTGTGCAGATCAACTCATGGGGTATAGAAAGGTGAAACTGAGAAAGCTCAGCCTTGTGGTCAAGGGATCCATAAGGCACATGGAGTTTTCAGGGGAGGAGCGGCCTCCTGTGAGTCTGAGGGCTCAAGAATCGTGAAGACCCTTGGCTTGCAGCTCTGACAGTGCACATTCATTCTGTTCTGTCGCAGAGATCAAATGCTTTTGGGGAGTGTTTGGGGGTGGGTGAGGTGGGAGGGACAGGGATAGCAGCAGGAGGGGATGGAGGGGTGGAGATCGGATGTGCAGGTGCATTGCTTCCCCGCAGCGATGCTATGTATTATGTGTCAGACATGTACCAAAAAAATCGCCAAGGGAATAAACATATTTTAGAAGCATATTAACTAGTTCTGCTTTACACAGTGGATCAAGTTAAAAGGTCTTGAAGCGCTTCTTGCTATGAAGCTGTAGTTGGATATGTGACAGATATGTGACAGAAAATACTTTCTGATGGATTGCTGAGCTCTCAGGGGCATGAGGCGAGGGCCCCGAGATGACAGAGAGGACAAAGCAAGCAGGACAAGCGAGTAGGACAAGGTCGGGCAGCCGTGGACCTAGAGCTGTGAGGCTGGGGTGTGCTTGGGATGTGGGACATTTGGGAGCTGGGGCTGAGCTTGAACACATCAAGGACAGAGTGAGGACTGCACAGAGCAGCCTGTCCTCCTCCACGCGGTGGAGCTATGAGGGAAAGCACCCACTGGCCAGGAAACAGTGTGGCCGTTCCTTTAACCAGCTGGAAAAATAATAGTATCAGTATTACTAGTGATAATAATAGTTTCCCCTGGTTGTTTCAGACAACAATCATTTCACAATTATATTTAAATAATATAATTCTTGTTCAGTAAATTGAATATGTGAGGTTTGCCTATATACTGGCCATGGGTAACGAAGGGGCTATTCAGGCCACAGCAAGTCCCCCGTGCCACCTGCCTCGTAGGAGCTGAAACAGATTTTGTGTGGGGAAAGCATCCTCAAGACAGCTCCTTTGGGATCCTGACCATTAATATTAGCAAAACATGAATTCATTGTAAGTAAGATACCATGAGAAACAGTAAAGACAGCAGACAATAAATTCATACAATCAAGGACTCAGAAATAGAATACTTGTGTTCAACATATGTGTTATTAAACAATGCTGTTGATGATGAAATTCATCCAGGAAAGCAAACACGAAGACTCCAGCGAATGACTGAAAAGAAGCATCCAGCTGATGGGTTCCTTCTACATGGGCAAGCATTAGAAAGGTAGACTACAGCATGTGTGGTGTGTGGATTAGCGGTAACTAATGTGCATCACTGTGGAAGAGGGGCGTGCATCTGTGCAAGCGCTCTTACCATGTCAGGTTTATGTGTATACGGTCTGGGATGCCACACTAGCACTTTTTTTTTTTTTGGTACGTGGGATTGAACTCAGGTCCTTGTGCTTGCAAGGCAGGCGGTGGAACCACTGAGCTAAATCCTAGGCAACACTAGCACTTTTTGATGAATGCTTTGCATATACCTGTGTTCAGGCATGAAAGTGGTCTTTAGATTAGTCACACCAGTAATGGTAAAAAACAAAAACTCAAGCAGAAACAAAAACACCATGACCCAAACCAAACCCAAACCAAAAAGGACCTGAATAACAGCTTGCATATAGGAGGAAATTAATTACGGTGAGTCACATGGCGGTGTAGCATTCAGCAATGACAATGGCCTACAGCTGCACGGCGTATATAGTCTGCCATACAGTGAGCCTGAGAAGCAGTGTTCTAGGAGAAGAACACATACACTTTGGGGATATTTTTATAAGCACTACTTAAAAATGGATAGTACATGTTAAAGGTACACATATGCACAGTAAAATATAAAATATAACACACATATATAAATATTTACTTATTTGTTTATAATATCTGTAATATATAAGCAAAAGAACTATAAAATTAGATTTTAAGATAGGAGAGCAGGTGAAAGACTATACAAGCTGTGGTCAAATTCACAGTTAGCGTGTTCAATTTCTCAGTCCAGATGGAGGTTACTCAGTGTTTGTGTTAGCATTCCCTTTATTGTTTATATGTACTCAACTTTCTTAAGTATAAAAGTTTTATAACTTAAAAATTCCGTATTTGTATTTCTGTATGACTCATTTTTAAATTTATAATTATCTGCTGAATGAAAAGTGCATGTTTATAAAAATGAGACTGATATAAAAGGAGAACACATTTTGCTCTTAGCTATTCTAATTTACTCATTGTTTAGCACTTTTGCTTCATGGTGTGAGTCCTTAGAGATGAAAACTGCTTTTGAAGAAAAAATGTTCATCAACTCTGAAAATCAATTTGCAAAATCACTAATGCGTCAATACACCTAAGTATAAAAGACTAAAAAAAACATTTTAATAGGTGTATCGGTTAGGGTTCCCTAGAGGAACAGGATCAGCAGGAGACAAATATGTGTAAATAAACTGCAGGGGGTTGTTAGATGATAACAAAGCATCAGCTCGGGCCATCCACAGGGGCCTCCCTGTGCTCAGGAGAGGCTGGAAGCCCCAGAACAGAGGGCTCAAGGATGCAGCCCCAATCAGGACAGAAGGCCTGGAAGCTCCCTGGAGAGAACGTTGAAAGGCTGAGGTAGCTGGAGTCTGATGTCCCCAGGCAGCGGCAGAAGACACACACAGTCAAGCGGAAGGGAGCTTTCCAAGGGCAAGCCAACTTCCTCCCTCGCATGCGTTTCACCTTGGTGCAAGCCTATTGGATGGTACCCCTACTGTCCGGCCGTTCTTCCTCGTTTAGTGGGCTGGCCTACCTGCCAGTCATCTGTGGAAAGACCACACAGGCACACCCGGAAGTGTGATTTATGTTCTGATAGGCAGGTCCTGATCCAGCCAAGTTGGAGTCACGAGTCGTGGTTGCAGTAGGGTCTGGCGTACACACTATGGCTGGAGAATTTCCATCGGGAGAAAATGTAAAGTAAAAAGAAACATACCTCCAGTTTTTTCGTATTCATCTGCATCTTCCCTTTGCTCCTGTTGATCTTCCCAGGTGGACTCGGACTTCCTTTGGCCTAAGGATTCCATTCAGGTTGTGGGAGGAGCTGGGGATGCCATCGCTCTTCCTCCCTCAGACCCAACCAAGGCAGCTGCTAGCGGAAGGGGCCCAGACCAGCTGAAACCCACATCCCACCAGGGACCTGAACTGGGAGGGGCTTTGACTTCCTCTTAGCCGAGGAAATGGAACCTCCCGCTTGCCGTAGTACCGCAGCCCTGGGTTTTCCTTTTGCTGAAGCGTGAGCTCTTTTTCATAGGTGAAATAAAGGAGAATGTTTACAATAAAGTTTGTAAGTAAAGAGATAAAACGAATAAAGTAAGTTCTGATATGTAGTGGCATTTCATGTTATAGACGAATACACTTAAATTTAGTAAAACATTTTAAATACCTTTTATCATAAATATAAGCAATTTTAATGAAACATTTATGCAACATACAATCATTGTCTGATAAATTTCCCCAGTATCTTTTTATTTATGTTTCTGGGACTGCAACGACGATGAGCGTTTTGCAAACCTAAATTACAGCACTCATGAAAGCGTAGAGATTGTTGTCAGCAGCCTGCTGCCGTGGACTATGGTTTCTGTAGAGAAGTCACAGCGCTGTATGGCTCTGTCTTCTGCCCCATAAATGACAGTCTCATTTTAGTCCCAGGATCCCAGTGTGGAGCACAATGGGCCTTTCCGGCAGCCCGAATGCATTACAGCAGATCCTGACTTCTGCCCCCCTATGCCCTTAGGACAGCTTCCCAGCGCGATTTGGAGGGATTCACTTCGTCAACCAGCCGTGGTACATCCATGCCCTGTACACTGTGATCCGGCCCTTCCTGAAGGAGAAAACTCGGAAAAGGGTATGTTCGCTTCTTTGTTTATAAATCTCTTCTCCTTTTGGATGCAAGGGCTGTGATGCATGCCACGTCTATAGTACTGGCCAGGGTAAAAGGTGCGCTTGTGTGTTTGTGTATTTACCATAAAAGACATTTAAAACTTATTAGAGACCTTCTGGTTAACTTTTGACAGTTTATCTGTGAATGGAATATTTAAAAACAAGCTCTCCTTCTTTCTCACAAAAGGGGACATTTAGCACATTTTTTATATAAGAAAGCCTTAGTGTAAAGGCAAAAGGAATTATGCTGTGCTAATATGTTATTATTAGTGCACTTTCAAGTAAGGGCTAGGAAGTTTTAGCATTATTTCTGATGAGCAAGTGTTATTTCATAATGCATATTGCAGTGAGTGTAGGGAATTTTGCAGTGTCTGGTATAATTTTGTGGCATTGGTCACGACCAACCACAGGCTTTGAAAAGACTGGTAATTGTAGAAATTTTCATAGTTCTTTAAGTTGCATGTTCTTTGGATATCACTAAGATTCACTTTCATCTGACAATGAGGACACTCAAAGTAGACACAACATAATTGTTGTTCTGATTATAAGATGATTTATTTAAAGCCTTTATCACAGTGCATGGCACGTGGCAAATATCTAAGGTATTTATCATTGTCATTAAATGAGATTAAAACTGCATTTTGATTATTTCATTTCATCCTTGCAACAGCTCTGAAAAGTACTTTATTTTATTTTGTCTTTTTAGGTACGTGATATATAATGTTGGGATATAAGCAGATATCTGTCACAATATGAGAAACATAGCATGCTTCTGTATAAGTTATGTGAAAACAAATCAACTTTGTCAAAAACATGTTCACACGTTCTGAAAATATTTATCTTAATATAAAATATGGTAAAGTCAAAAACAGCTTTTGTTACACAAAATACAGAGCATACACACTAAAAATTTAAAGCAAAAGAGGCAAAATCCTAATTAACAATTTAGTGGCCTATACCTCCAAATGGTAAAGACTAAACAAAAATTACATAAATAGTAACTCTATTTGAAAGTAAAAAATACATTTTAATTCACCATGCTTAATTAAGAGGACATACATTATTTTAAAAAGTGGATCAACTGCTGATTTATTTATTCTTCCAAAACATGCCTACATTGTGTAGTGGTCCAATCAGGGTAAGCATATCTGTGTCCTATAATGTTTGCCATTTCTTTAAGGGAAAACATTCAAAATCCCCCCCGCTTTTTTTACTTTTTCTGAAATACATAGTACATTATCATTACCTATAGTTGACCTACCATGACTTCTTTTTCCTAGAACACTGGTAACGTAGTACCAAGGACCAGCTTTTACCTGAGCTTCCCCCTCAGGCCCAGGTGACCACTATTTGTCTCTGAGCTCTGAAAAGTGAACTTAGTAAACATGACCTCCTATTTCAGAGCTGAGGAAAATGAGGTTTAGGGTGGAGGTGAAACTCTCTTGCTCCTGTGCGCAGCAGTGAAGGGGCCCAGGTAGTCCATGGGCGCCTGCCACCCAGTGCCATGTTCCACTTGTCAGAGAGCAGTTCCATGCCCGATGTGCTCACTCGTGCCCCTGAACACAGTCCCCTGTATCTCCGTGACCTGGATTATGCTCAGCTATTTCAGTGTTCAAAGGCCTTGAACGCAGTGATTTTCGTATCACACATCACTGGGCAGGTCTACTGGGTGTGAGTTTTCACACTGTCTCAGTAGCTCAGGAGGAACTCTGGGGACGATTGGAATGTCTATGAAGAATTGCTTCCAGTACCTCGAATCCAAATATTCTATCTTAGAACGCAGATGGGCAAGCGCTTTGTTGAAGCTTTGTTTCCTGAAGACAGGGTCCGGCTGTCCGGGACGCCTGCTGCGGCTTATGGAGCAGAGCACACCGGTGAATGCGCAGGACCTGTTCACTGTGTTGCACATGCAGCTCTTGGCACTCTGCTCATGTATTCCTTGTGACAGTGCTGGAGGCTTAGTATGGTTATTTTCCTCATTTCGGAGATGGGAAAATTAGGCCTGGAAGGTGAAGTAGTTCGCTGGGAGTCGCAGTGGGTGGCAGAGTTCATTGCGCAGCCCAGTGGGGAAGAGAGTGCCTGGCCGGGGCCACAGGCGGCTGTGTCTAGCACCCTTGACAGACAGCGATGTGGCCAGAGAGCTGGGCAGAGCGACCTGGGGGCCGGTGGTGGGATGGAGGAGGAGAGACTGGTGGGCCCGGTCAGCCTGGCCTCAGTGCCCTGCCAGGACCTGCTTTCAGACCAAGTGCGAAGCGAAGCCGTGAGAGCCCTCACTGCAGGGTGACTTGTGACAAGATTGGGAACAGGATGCTGCTCTGCTGAAAGAGCCTGAAGAGGACCAGGTTCAGAAAATGAGGGCAACGTTAGGTCTGGGGTTTTGTGGTGGAGCTGGACAGTTTTAACAGCGCCTGGAGTGTTTCTCCTAGCATGGATCCAGAGGGAAGGAAGGTATCCGAACTTTTCTCTTTCAGTGGGAATTACGGCTCAGACATATTCGTAGGAAAAATAACTACAGGTTTAAATGCCCGTGATTTATACGTTCGCAGACAGTGCCCAGTGTGAAGCCGGTGTGTGTCTCACCTCACAGCCTTCCCCAGCACAGCTCAGCACACTGCGGCTCCTGTCACTCTGGGCTCCAAAGCAAACCTAAGGGGCCTTCGTGCGCCTCCTTCCACAAGCTCAGGTGTGGAGGAAACGTGGGGCCCTTTATTTTCTCAAACTGCGTGTGCCGCCCTGCTGCGCTGTGGAAATACCAACCTTGGCTTTTACAGAGGTCCCTTCTCAGTCTCCTGGGGTCTCTGGAGTCTTTCTTGCCAGAGCCCCACCCTTCATGGCCAAGTGCAAGCCAGAACCCCTTCCTGGGCTGAAGGCCTCCTTCCGCTGCTAACTGCCTGAGGAGTGGCCAACTTGGCTTCCAACACTGCCCCAGTGCGAGCTCAGCTGATATGTGGT